TTTTTAGCATGCAGCACACATCCAAATCTCAGTACGGAGTCGATGCACCGAAAACGCACAATCGGAACTGAACCCGCCAGCAAAACCCTAGACCCAAAACCCAAAACCCTAAATTGGGGATGGGGTTTAGGGTTTCGGGTTTTAGGGGTTCCAGAGTGTGGGCATGAAGGCTGCGGGGTTAAGAGAGTTTAGGGTTAAGGCTTACGTAGGCTTTGGGGCTTCAGCTTACGGATTCGATATCAACCCTAACCCCTGAACCCTAAACTCTCGGCCCTCGGTTTCTTCGGGTGTAGGGTGCTCGCGAGTCCTCGGATTGCTACGTGTTGACTCTAGGCTGTTGGATTTAGGAGGTGTCCTGACCTCTAGGCACCTATGCCCGAATACCTCCCAGAGAGTCCACATTCCCTCAACTAAAGCATATAAGTCGCACTCTATTTAACTGCAGGCTCCCAAAAAACCATGTAAGTTGCACTCTATTTGACTTCAGGCTCCTAAACCAAGCATATACGTTGCACTCTATTTATCTTCGGGCTCCTAAACCAAGCATATAAGTTGCACTCTATTTATCTCCGGGCTCCTAAACCCCTTTTCAGCATGGCTTTGGAGTGTGCGCTAGCGGCCCCAAAGGGTGGGGGCGTCTCCCCGGGTCTAATGTGGGCGCCTGAATAATTCGAATAGGGTTTCGGGTGGTTCCTTGCTATAGCCATAGTATATAATATAACCCCCCAAACTCTATTCTAACTCTTTTAAGGCCCCTATCTTAACTTTGTTCGGCTCCCCTCCATGCTATCTTTCAGCACCCGTAGAGATCAGAAGAGGGAGTCCGGGCTATAGATGGCCCATGATGGGTACTATTTGCGGCTTTTCCAAGCTTCTTCACTTTCCGTCCTTTCTCAAGCTTCTTCAATATCTGGAACTTTAGACTTTCCGTCCTTTTTCAAGCTTCTTCAATATCTGGAACTTTAGACTTTCCGTCCTTTTTCACGCTTCTTCAATATCTGGAACCTTAGACTTTCCGTCCTTTTTCTGGAACCTTAGACTTTCGGTCTCCATGCCTGTCAGAAGATACGGGGCACTTCATCGATCCCAAAAGCAAAACCCCAAAACCCTTTTTTGCTCTAAACCCTTAACCATACACCCTAGAATCTCTAGCACACCTAAAACTGTATTATTGTTCGAAGAAGCTCCCTGTCGAAAGTCTGACGAAAGCTCGTGTTACTGCTGGCCATCGCAGCTTTCGAACTTGAATGGCTTCATATCTGTATCGGGGAGTCAACAGGATACTCCTTGGTAGTACTATTGCTGTTGTATGCTTGTACATGCACGATGAGGGGACTTTGCTACTCAGAATTAGTTCGGACCTACAGATTAGGTGAACCCTGAACCCCTGACCCCCTAATCCACAATAAGGGAATCACCTCCGATCGCGCAGCAATCCGCCTTTAAAAGCCGAAAAGCTACTTCTAGGGTTTAAACTCCTCCTGTTGATGATGTAAATCCTGCATTACCTTGAGGACCCTAAACTATGGGAATTATGGCACATTCCTTGTTAGGGGTAATGCAGGATTTTTAGCATCAACCGTAGTTAAGGGCTTCGGTGCTTTGGGGCTTCTGGCTCTTGGCTAAAGCGAACCACCTCCGATTGCGCAGCAATCCGCCTTGACAGCCGAAAAAGGCGCTTTTACGGGTTTAGGGTTTAGGGACTCCGAGGAAAGCTACCAGTTAACCTTTTGTAGGCTAGCGAGTACTTGCTCGACAGCTAAGCGGCTAAGCGTAAACGACCTGCACACAAACAAAAACCAAACCCTGAACCCTTACCTCAAGCCAACAACTGGCACGAACTGCACAAAATTGTTCCAAGATCCCTTGCTGGCCCCCAAGTAGTCATACTGTAGATTTCAACCGTGTTCTGATCAACAAAATCCTCTTCTTCTGACCATTAAGACCTCCATTTGGGCCGAACCAATCGCGCTGACTTACTCAACCCCCGCTGCTGCAAGAAAAGACTTCAGGCCTACCGGCCTACCTAAATAATCTCATTGATCATCTGAGTATCGTACCAGTGTTTGCAGGTGTACCAGGTGATGTTCATACTTGTGGTTAAGGCCCGCAGTACCATAAAACCTTGAACTTGCAACTCCAACAGCACCTACAACCCAACACGCCGCACGATCTCCTGAACTCTCAGCCTAAAGCCCGAGAGCCCAGATCTCTGAACCTTGCACCGAACTCAAACCCCAAACTCATTCCCACATCGACAGAACATCGGACAGCTTCACGCCAGGGCACCATTCGAAAAGGCCCTGAAAGCTGTCGAATATTCTCCGGCCCTGGTCCAGGCCCAGGGCTTCCATACCTCGGCGATGGTGGGGTTTTGTCTGTTGACTGCTAGGTGCGCAGGTGACTGTGGTGACTGCTTGCATAGATTCCCGGTGTCTTTGAATGCTCCGGCTTCTCTGCTGCTCCTGCTGCTCCTGCGCCGCTGCTACTGCTAGTCCTACTACAGCTACGACTACGACGACTTCTACTGCTACTTCTGCTGCTACGGCTACGGCTGCTGCTGTTAGTGCTACTCGCACTTGTGCTTGTCCTAGTACTAGCACCAATACTAGTACTACGGCTGATGAAAAAAAGAAGGAGCATAGCACTAACTCTCTTCGCTACTACAGGTACTCCTACTACCACTGCTGCTGCCCTAAAGCCCCATAGCCAGACACCCGGCCAACAAAATCAGAGCGGCGCGATAGATTCTTTTCCTGCCGGCGCTTCAGGGCTTAAGCGGCTTCCAGCACGCGCCCTGCAAACCTGCTGGAAACGGTGGCGAGAACATGACCTGTGCTCACGTGCTGCTCACTCCGCAAAATTTCAGCACGCACATTGCGAAGAGACAGGATCCTAGGACTTCCCCCACGATCTCCAGTCGGGCTGGTTTTGAAGGCGCCTGCCCTGTCAACTGTTCATACGCAAGAAGAGTTCCCCAGGCATCTGCGGCGGCATAGGACACAAATCCTGGCTCCTCGAGCATGTCCTCGCTGCTTTCGAGCCCCCACCAACCTTTCTTCTTGAAGCTTTGTTTGCTCCAAGCCACGCGTTCAGGATCACCTTCACTCAAGATGGCCGCAAGACCCGGAGTTGGATTCTTAGGGAGCCTGGTCATGTCCTGGAGATCTACCACTGGGCCAAGCACTTCCATGGAAGGGCGGCATCTTCTGAGCGACAAGATGTCTTCCTTGCCTTGGCAAACGATCTTCTGGATGTCTTTATCTGCCAAAAGCTCCCGCAGCTGCCCGGAATATTCTCCAGCAGCCACGGGCACCTCGACCACAGCAACGGTTCGCGAAGCCACCTGCACCATCAAGGGTCCCAAGTGCCCTTTATGGCCATCAGTGCCTTCACAATCCAAGCCGATCGAGCTGCCATTGGATGGAATGGACTGACGAAGCCGGTCGTAGATAGCCGCAGTCTCGTTGTTGCCCGTGTTCGGGTCTACAACCAGCACTGCAACGCCCGCTTTCACCATCTCATTCTCGAGCTGTTTGGCCATCCTCGACAAGCGCAAGTGCAGAAACCAAGAAAGGCTGACTTAAACATCAATGTAAGCGCAACGTCCCCGGAAGCCTTGCTAGGGAGTTTTGCAGTCTCATTATAAGCATCGCTCTTCTCGCTTCTTTTGGTGTTGGGTACAGCCCATCATCAAGTCGATGCATGCCCATCATGACGGCAGTGCGAAGCATCACCAGCATTGCATATAGCCTGAGTCTATAAGCATATTCGTTGTCATTGGCATGCTGAGCATCAACTGAGTGTCTTGAAACTGTCACTTCCTTACAGACCAGTCTGCCTCCTCTACCGGTATCATACCCAAAGGGTCCTAGGTACTGCTATGGGGGATACTTTCCCAAATCATAACAACAATTCCTAGTACAGAAACCCTACATTCTACTATATAGGTACTTTGGACCCTTTGGGAGAATACCGACAGGGTGCTTTCCAATCCAGGAGCCCTTCTCACAGCGTCTCTCACTGTCATAGGGGGTGTTGCGTTCTTTCGTTTTGCAATGTGCTTGCTATGGGGGAGCTCCATACTATCCTGGTGGTATCGATGATCCCTGCGCGAAGCCAGGAAGCCGCAAACTATCTTTGGGCGCAGAAGCTCTGAACAAATTCTTCCTCTAGGTTCCCAGTAGACCCCTAACAATAAGGGCACCTTTTTTCCTACTCTTTGGGTTATCAAGAAGGGACCCCCAAAAACAAAAAGGGCAAAAAGGGTACTACTGGGGCTTACTGTCCTTGAGTTCGAGCCTGAGACCTGAAGTCATTGCCATTGCCCTCAAAACCACACCGTGCTACCCAAGCTTCGTGATTCAACTCGGCGATCACTTCATCACGGATGCAAAGGGAGGACGAGGACCCGCCACAACTTTTCGGAGCCCGCTCTGCTCGTGAGACATGTCGGATGACTTGTTGCTTCAGGCCATCCTCAAGGAGCTATGGTTGATGATATAAATCCTGCAGTACCCATAACAAGGAATATATCAAAAAAACCATAATATAGTTTAGGGTCCTTAAGGTAATGCAGGATTTCTATCATCAACAGCACGAGGACCAACAGCAACCGGAACTTCCGACAGCTATTATTCCATCACCACGACTGTCACTATAGCCAATTTGGGCACCTGGCTATGAAATTCCCACGTTTTGCACGCACGAATTGCCGCTGCAAAGTGGGGCTTCTGTCTGTTGTACATGTTCGAGGTGTGTGCACTCACACTGGCAGAAGGTGGTTGCATTATGCGACTTCCCCGAGTATCTACCCAAACCACCAAAACCCTTAGCCAGAAATCCTAAACTTAGGCCTTAATAATTAGAATAGGGTTCTGGGGTACTTTACAGTATACTTGCAATAAGGAACCCCAGAAAATAGTCTAGGCAACTATTTAGGCCCCTATTATCAGACCCCTAAATCCTAAACTTCAAGGGGGCAGTAAGTCCAAGGCAACCCAGAATGCTGAGATCTCCGCAAGCTTTGTCGAAGCCGAGGCTGCCTGCACAAGCTTTTGGGTTCAGGGCTTCTAGGCCCTAAAATTTATTTTCAGGTTTAGGGTTTAAGATTCAGGTACTCGGGCTTCGGATAAGAGAGATAGTAGTAATGTAGTGAGGACCCTTAGCGCTGGAACCCCAGTTACTGTCTTTGGCGTCGGTTTCTGAGTGCCCCCTAAGATGAACATCGATTGAGTCGGCCGCAGGATTTCTGCCGAAATGGCCCTGAACCCTGAACCTCAAGCCTCTCCTCTAAATTATCATCTTGAACCCCTCATGTACCGTAGAGGCCGGAACAAAAAAGGGCGGGGCCCTGCCGTCTTATCAATATAAATATAGGAAACCAACAAGGCCCCCATACTGAGCCCTGCCTAAACCCCTAATCTCTCCAAAGTAGCATTAAAGATCTCCATATCAATAATTCTATCTCTTTAGACTTGTACTTCAGTGTACCTACAGTATGCAACGGTATGCCCCAGAAACCCTATTGTATTGCTTAAGATCTGCGAAAGCCATCATAACCCAAGACAGTCGGCAAGGCAACAACAGCAAACAAGAGCCTTATCATGGTGTTGTTCTCGGATTAAGTGACTCCAGTGTATATATTGGGGTCTTCAGGACGGTCCTATATCTACTTTGATGGGGCCTCAAGAAATTCGGTTGATCCTGCATTACCCGTAATGAGGAAGCTACCCTAATTCCCATAGATTAGGGTTCTTAAGGTGATGCAGGATTTCTATCATCAACAGTTACACTACGCAGGCAAACGCTGTGACGATCTCGCAACTCGGACGCAGACAGACGAGGTCGCTCGGTTCACAGTCGCTTGAAGGCTTTAAGGGTCTTAGTTGCTGAGTCACAAGAAACGGTACACCTTCAGTGCTGTAAGGGATCATATTACTCCAAAAAGTTTATAAAAGTGTACTCATTCAGCTACTAACGGGTTTACAGCTACTAACGGGTTTACAGGCTTACGGCCCTAGAGAGATTGAGGGCTTCGGGGGTTCAGCCTCTGGGGTGCTGGTGGCGATTTTGGTCGTAGACAGGGGCCTCAATACGTAGAAAGGGGTTCTGCGCTGTAGTATAGTATTGCCATGACCAGGAACCCTAAGGAATGAAATTGGCGATTTTTCAGGCTTTCATAATATTAATATCTGGCAGCAATGCTGGGGTTAGAGTTTTGAATGTTGCACGACAAGAACGGTGAGCCACGGCAGCACAACAACGTCATCAACTGCAATCAGGTACAGCAACAGTACCAGCTGTAAACCGCTAGAGCTCCACACGAAGAACACGAACACTGGCATCAACCAATGGTGCAGTACCAGTCTTAAGTCTTAGCGTTCTGGAAAACCGCTTGCGAGCTTTGTGCCACTGTTGGACTGACTGAAGAACCAGCCACCCGTGAACGTGAACACACCATTTTTAACAAATACAAAGGATCCTTGACATAAGAACCTCCAAGCAAGGTTCTCCTGGCTCCAAGAACCCCTAAACCCTCTCTCTCTAAACCCTAAAACCTAAAACCTAAACCCCAAACCCTAAAAGCTAAACCCTAAACCCTTTTCAACAGAAGACAGCTCAAGCCGGCAGTCCTGATTGTCGGAAGGGTCTAAGTCCCTCAAAAACCACCCCCCACCCCACCAAAATCCGCAACAAAACACAAAACAAAAGACAGAGCACCGCCGGGCCTATCTTCGAAGTTCGCAGATTCTGCTGTCGGTCTTCATGGTTCCCCCGGTTCAGCCAGACCTGGTTCGGGTAGATGATCCTTGGCCGCGATGGGCAAAGTCGGGGCCCTTATGGACTAGAACAAGAAGTTCCTGTACAGGGCTTTAAGGGTGCTATAGGGTTGTTTGAAAAGCCCTTGAAACTTTCAAGAGGTGTTTTTTGGGGTCGGGGGCGAAGGCATGACGACGATGGCATGATATGAATGCCTTTCCCCCAAGCCTGAAGAAGCTTGCAACCAAGCATCGAAAACCCGGAATGACTTCTAATTAATCAGCACCTAAACCCTAACCGTAGAGCCGTAGACTTACCCAAAGGGCTTGGCGCGGACTGTCTTAGGCCTGTAGGCCTGTCTGTTCGGGAGTTTGGGAGAGCCATCCCTCAAAGCTGCCCGTAGAGTGCGACTTAGCCCTATAGGTCGAAGCACTAAACCCTGAGCCCTCAACCCAGATCATAAGCCTTAGCAGCTGAGTTCAGAAGCACAAACAAGTGTACACTTCCAGTTCGATAAGGGAGGATCTTATCCTAAAAAAAGGTTATAAAGTGTAGTAATTCAGCTACTAAGAAGCTGCGAGCCCCCACACTCAAAACTTGGTCTTTGGAGCCTTAGGGGTTGACGATTTGTGCTTTGGCGATAAGGAGGCGTTAAGGGTCTGTAGGGATACGTACGGTTAAAAAAATGCCGAAATGCCCAAAACCCTAAACCCTAAACCAAACCATAAAACCCTGACCCCCTCTAATCAAGGAATGTCCTGGACCTCTAACAACTTCTTCTGCACTCTGCGGGGTCCTCAAAAACACAAGCCCGAAATACGCAAACAAGAACAACTGAAGCACGGAACAAACATGTAAAAAGCACCTGGAACCCCCTTCGATTTCCAGCCAAGCTTCTTCAGGGACAAGATTAGAACCATCACCTGCCAACGACAGGGCACTTTGAACCGTGCTTCACAAATCCCCGAGACCCTAAACCCTAAATCGTAAGCCCAAAACCCCAAACCCTAAACCGCAACCCCTAAAGCCTAAGCCCTAAAGCCTACACCCTCAAGTACCCTCGAACCCAACTCTAAACCCTACCCCAGCCCGAAGCCTTGAACTTGCGAGTTTCAGGGAGGACTTAGATGTTCGGGTTTAGGGTTTGGGGTTCAGGGTTTAGGGTTCAGGGTTGGGGTGTAGCTGGAACGCAGAAAGCCGAGGAAGCGAGCCCTCTTCCTTCAGGACGACATGAACCCTTAAAGGGGCCAAGGCTCAAAAACCATACCCTTACCCTCAAAGGACTCGTATGTTAAGGCTTTTGGGCCCGAAGACCCTATTGCATAAGTCTTTTGGGCTATTTTGATGCTGAGGGATATAGGGCTTCATGGTATGTATGAGCAGCTTATGAGGGTATCCGGCCCATACATGTTTAATGGTCCCATAAGGTTGGATAGAGATCACAGAAGGGGGCCTTGAAATTGCTAGCAAGACCATCAGAAGTCCGAATGAAAGAAAACGATATGTCCGGAGCCGCGCCATCCCGACCACCTTCGGTTCTAAACTTTGAACCCCATTGAGTCGAAATATTAAACCCATAACCCCCAAGCCCTAAATGTATATGGGGACTCTGCAAGGGAGACGGTGCAAGGGTGCGGTTTGGAGGTTTACGGGAGAAGGGGGGGGACCTCCAGCTGATGTCGTCCACGATCCACCCAATCACCGTTGAACCTTCGTGCATCCGAGTTTTGGGTCTCCGCATTCTGTCGGGATTCACAAAAAAGTATATATATATATGCATGC